TTAACACTAAAACTGGAGATCCCTTCATGTGACAGATGGGGAACCTGAGGTCCCAAGAGGCGAAGGGACTTGCTTCGTCTTCCTGTCTGTACATGGGACGAAGGGAGTTCCCTGGGCTCCAGCCCCAGCTGTAGCCTCCATACTATTGGACTCTGCCCCAAAGACACTCTACCTGAGCCAGGAGTGCTGCATCCTGCTCACAGGCCCCCTGAGGAACCCTTACCAATGACAAGAAGGACACATCACAGGATTAAACACACACGACCCCAGGAAGAGATGGGAAGGCCACGTCTTCTCTCCTGCCATCTGTGTGGGCCTCTTGCCCTCACTAACCTGCACTGGTCTAGGGCCTCTGGAATTGCTCAGACAAAACAACTAAGAGCCCCAGGCGGGTATGACTGTGGTAGATTACACTAACCACACTCTGGAGCTTTACTTATACCACAGCAAAATCCCACTTCAATGCCTCACAACTATTTGAAACAGGCTTGGAGTTGGCATTTCCCTAATTGCTCCTGAAACATCAAAAGTCTGTGAAATGTTCATAAATTTCATTTTTTAAAAATGCTACAGTAGTTTTTCTTCTAAGACTTACTTTATAAACATGTAAGAAAAGTTCTAGGTGGTGAGATTACACAATAGTAATCTGCCTTGAAGTGTGCTATTCTCAAGATTATAAAAAAAAATTTGGTCTTTTTAGTTCTTAAAAGAAAAAATAGTTTAACTTCTAATTTACTTCTTATTATATAAGGTTTAAATGCAAATAATTATACATCAAGCTTATTTGTGAAGCAATTAATGAATCTGTGAAGCCACGACTTGCTGTTAACTTTAACCCACATAGCCTGTCAGCATTTTGCCATCATTTTAAGAACGCTCCGTGTGAGAGCTGGAATGCTGCTGGAGGCAAAGGGCTGCTGCGGAGAGAGCTGCTTCCTTTTGCCTTCTCTGGGCTGTCGTCCCGTTCCTCCCCAACAGGACCAGAGGCTAGGCCATCCCAGCAGTCCTTCTATGGGGTTCCGTCCACCTGCCCTCTTCCTGTCCGGCTCTCCTGCCTTCTTGCCTACGTAATTCTCTAGCAAACTCTTCCAAGAGCTGGGTAAGTTTCTGCTCAGCTATGGCCAGATCACCAAAATGGGAATTTTATCAAGGTTTTAATGAGATGTTTCTGTTATACAAGTATGCACTGCTGAGCAACCTTCCTCTAAATCTGGTGGTCTTTACTAAAAGCAGACTGACGTGGAGACAAAGGTACCAGAGCTGGGTCACTCTTTAGGCGCCACTTACTCTGGCATGTTGGGAAGACACAGAGGCGACAACAGGAAGACACCTGCTCACTAGGAAGACACCTGCTCACTGGGAGCTCGCAGGCTGGCAGGGACAGTAAAACAAAGACAAAGTGTGGCGGGTACAAGGCAGGAAAAGAGGGAGCTGCTCCCAGCACCTGTCCGTGGGGGGCCTGTCAGGTGCCAGGCATGGTGCCAGGACTGGGGAAACCCCAGGAACAAGCCAGACATGTCCCTGCTCTCACGGAGCTTACAGTCTAGCAAAAAGACAAACTAGGAACTGGGAACTACAATCCAGTGTAAAGGGGGCAGGCTGGGGAGAGGACAGAGCTTTGGTTATCATACACTTCACTCAGGCAAACACTATGGCATGTGTCTGGGGAAAAAGAGACAAGGGAAAAGGGAAATAATTTTAAATCGTTTGGCCCATTCCGCCTGCCCTCCCCTCACCCAGCAGAGGGCAGGAGGGCCGGTGGCGAGCTCAAGCTCTGCTGCTCCTGTGGCCTCTCAGCCCCCAAGCGCCTCTTCTCACCCGAGTGGGACTATGGCCCGTCAGCGCAGACCTGACACTTCCCCTGGTGCTCAACCATAGACACCGTGACCTGTGCCACACGGGCAGGAGCAATGCACTCATCATGGGCCTCCTGATGCTGGTCTTCAGCACAGCACTCCTCAGGGTTTCCAGGAGGAACTGTGGGTACACTCAGTGTTTACCTGGGTATGCTTTTCTACTCTAACCCTGGAGTAAGCCAGGACTTCCATGTGGCAGTCCCGTGGGGCACAAAGCAGGGACCCAGACTCTGGCTCTGGGAGCTGGGGTCGCCATGGAGGGGTCGCTAAGTCCTTGAGCATGGAAAAGAGAAGGCCAGGCAGGAGGGGACAGGGCCGGGGGTGCCAGAGCGGGAGGACAGCACTGAGCAGAGCCTGGGAGGCTGGGAAGATAACGATGAGCCCAGGGAAGGAGTGAGCAGAGGGCAGGGGAGGGCGGGCCAATAGGCCAGAAACAGTGCCAGAGACTAGGTCTCGACCAGCCGTGTGAGTATCAGAGGGGTTTGGGATTTATTCCAAGGGCAATGGCGACGCTTTGGAAAAGGTCTTAAGCAGAGAAATAACAGAAAGCTCATCCCGAAGCACATGAAAAGACAGCCGACATCTGTAGTCATCAGGGAAATGCAAAGCAAAACCACAAGATACCCATTCATATCAGAAAATAAGTTGCTGTCAAAGATGCAGAAAAACTGGAACCCTTGTATATTGCTGGGGGGAATGAAAAATGATGCAACCACTTGGGGAAACAGTCTGGCAGTTCTCCAAAAGGTTAAAGACAGAGTTGCAATATGACCCAGCAATCCCACTTCTGGGTATATAACCCAAGAGTAATGAAAACATATGTCCACATAAAACTTGTACATAACTGTTCATAGGAGCACTATTCAGAATAGTCTCAAAGCAGAAACAACCCAAATGTCCATTAACAGGTGAACAGATAAAAGTGTGGTACAGCCATACAATGGAATATTATTCAGCAACAGAAGGAAATAAAGTACTGATACATGCTACAACATGGATGAAACTTGAAAATATGTTTAGTGAAAGAAGCCAGTCACAAATCATACAAAGTGTATGATTCCATTTATAGGAAATGTGCAGAATAGGCAAATCCATAGCGACAGAAACAGTGGTTGCTGGGGGGAGGGGGACAGGGAATGAGGAGTGACTGCTGATGTACAAGGTTTCTTTTTAGTGACGCAGTGTTCTAAAATTGATTATGACGATGGCTGCACTTCTCTGTGACTATACAGAAAGCCACTGATGTGACAATACATAAATAATATGTCAATAAACGGCTAACAACAAGAGTTCATCCTGGGTATGGTGCAGAAGAGAGAGGGAGAGATGGGGCAGAGACCAGTGAAGAGCTGCTATGGAGATGGAGCGGGAGACAGTGGTTGAACTTCGGGGAGGGATTCAAGGAATGAACTAGACGAGGCCAGATGAGGAGAGTGTACATCTGTGGAGCCTCTGCAAGTTCCCCTGGGTAGCTGGTACCTCTCCCAAGAGGTAGAGTGGGAAACAGAAATGAGGTATCTAATTATTATCAAGCAGCAAAAATGTATTTAAAATCTTGTACCTATAAAGACGAAGAGAAATCTGAAAAGTGTGTAGTCCTGCTGCCCACGTCCATGAAGTGCCCCGTGTAAAAGCCCACTGAGCTCCTGCCAGGGGACTGTCCTGACTGTCCATTCTCACTCCCAAACTCCAAAGGAAGGGCCCGGGCACTCGGGGCACGCCTAAGATATTGCACAATCTGGGTATCTGAGTACAGGCTGGAAAGCAAGAGAGGCTGAGACCAATAACTTTCAGAAATACACTGAAAATCTTTGAAGATCCTTTTCTGGGTTCTGTGTGTTTGTGAGAATTGCCAAGCTGCTAAAGTGGGCACTTTTCTTGGTCAAGTCAAAGACCCGGTTTTGACTACAAACCACGACTCACCTGCAAGTCTTCCCTGGTCTCTACCGGGGACCGGGAGGACCAAAAGGCCCTGGGACAGATGGGCCTGCACCGCTGCCGGGAAACCCAAAGGAAATCCTAGGAGGGGGCACTTTCTGAAACTACAGAGACCGTGTCAGTTGGGACCCTGGCCAAAGACTCTGTCCCACCCAGAGACTGGAATGGATGGGGTAAGGCCCTGTCCACAACCTCATGCACAACCTCAGCTGACTCCTTGACCCTTCCCCTGCCTGCAACAGAAACCAGTGCTGGCCAGCTTACTGCAGCCGTAACTGGGGCAAAAAGTCAAACACCACTGAGACACACCAACAAAGCCAGAAGCTCTGGTTCCAGCCATTCATTTGCTAAATGGGGAAACCAAGGCCCAGGTCATGGAACACAGCCGGTGGCACCCAGTCTCTGACTCTCAGGGCCTCACAGTTCTCACTCCATCAGCTCCCAAGCCCTCAAGAACCTGGCTCTCAGTGTGCTTCAAAGAGCAAGAGGAGCTGAGGAGCCTCAGAAACCTTAGGTCTCAACCGGCAGAGAAGCCTCAACTCTCTCTTTCCTAGAATCCTATTAGGAAGGTGAAACGTATCATGGGCCTGTTGTTCTAATCTTTCTAAAGGGAGAGAAAAAAGCAGGTCAAGCAACAAAATACAGACAGTGCAGGCTTTGCTGCAACCCTTTACTCGATTAACAACAGTGTCTGCACTCGATCAGCTCTCCAGGGAGCACTAATGAACTCAGCCACAAGAGAGGGAGGAGCTCTAGAATGCAGGGCTGCACCGAGGACTGGGACGCTCCCGGCAGGTGGAGAGTTGTGACATCACAAAAGGGACAAGGCTTCACTATCCCTAACTCCCAGGTGCTGGTGAACTGAAGTGAAACACCCTTTTTAAGCTGCAGAGGAATGCAAACATTAAATACTTCAAAATAAAAATCAGACAGGAAAACAAACTAATCTACTGCCTTTTAGTTAAAATAATCGAACTAAAACTAGAAACAAATGAACCAAATTTCTATAACTATGTCATTTGCCAGTTTGGAAGATGTCTCCCGGTGTCAGAAAAAAGGTCAATGCGTTACTTCTAAAGGGATAATGAACAACAGAACCCCATCTCGGATGGGTGGATGTTTTCCTACAGTGGCCAAAGGCAAGCTGAACTCTATGTACAACAGACAATACAATTAGGATCATTTAAAAATAATGAGACTCCTCTCTTTGCCTTCTTCCAAAGTATATAATATATATTTAACAGCACATTAGACACCACTTGAGCTTCCCTGGTAGCCAACAGGAAGTATTTTCACATATAAAAATTAAAAATTTAAACCTTAAATCATTAATATTTTTTAAACATAATACAGACTTAGAAATTGTTCAACATTACCCCATGACCCCACCCCTAGCACAAAAAAATCCATCCCAAATCCAGAAGTCACAGTTTTTTGTTCCTAAAAATCCCCCAGTACTGAACTTGATCTTCACGGCAAGCCGACTGCTAACAAGAGGTCCCTAACAGGCATCTCCAGGAGGAACGGAAGCACGACGGACGCTGTGTCTGTGATCTACCTGGGCAGCACTGGTGCACCTCTGAGGTCAGGTCCATGAGATTCGGCCCCCACACTAGGGTCCTGGAAGAGTGAGCTGGCAGCTTCCCTCATCTTCCCCCTCGAAGGCTGTCCAATAAGCACCTGGGAATTGACTTTTCTTGGGAAAAGGGTGCTGGTAACAGCTGTCAGGGCCAAGGCAATAGTGAGAAGTTCAGTTCTCTGCTCTTTGGATGAACTGTGTAAAACATTTTTTTTTTTTTAAAGACACAATGTTAAAAATATTAAGAAAAACATCTACAAAATCTGGAGGGCTGCCTTTTTCTCAAAGGGTAAAGCTTGTGGAGTGGTAGGAAAAAAAATCGAGGGCCCAGAACTATAACTCTGCAGCAAAAGATAGATAGATGCCCTTCAAACATGTCACATTCTTAAGAGGTCTTGCTAAAGTAGCAAGAGCTGAGGGTGACTGTGTGAGTAAAAGCGGGAGGGGCACCAACTTCTGCAGGGGAGGTTCCTACTGTGCACCCACCCTGCGCAAGAATGTCAGGCTTTAGGGCAGCTGCCATCGGCCCCAAGGGCATCAGGACTCTGCCTCTGAACCAGAGCTGCTTTCCCGACTAACTTCAATCTGGAGAGATGGTAAGTTATCTAACCGGCTCTTCTTTTGGCGAGACTGTTCTTTCTCCTTAATCAGAGCCCCCCATGCCCTTTGCAGCTCGGAGTCATCTTCCTCAGTGCCAGGGGCCCTACGATCCACTTTCTTCGTGTTCTTTTCTTTGGTCTTGGATGCAGATCCTAAGCGAGTCCATAAACTACCTGTTTGAATGAGAAGGCATTTTAGTTTTGGTAGTCAATGCTGAGGAAGCAGGGGTACTGCCAACACCTGATGAGCAGGGAACAGTGGTGGGGGGGGGTGAGGGAGGAGGGCCTGTGGCACCTGCAACCACTGTGCAGCCTTGCACAGGTAATCTCATCTCCCTGGCTGCATCCCCTGCCTGCTAACTGAGGGATCTGGACCCAAGGGGAGATTCTCACAGCCAGGGAACACGGCCTCCATGCTAAGCATTTTAGAATCACCGGGGAGTCTGTGCTACACCTGCCCCCTCCCTGGTGAAACACACCACCCTGTGCACAGCTGCATTCTGCCAGGAGTGGGCCATCCCCAGATCATCCCAGCTATAACGTTCTACAAACTGATGGGCCTGCAACACTGCAAACTTTTAGAGATTCTGCCCACCCTCCATTATATTTTAAAAATATACTTTATCAATATCTAATAATAGAGAAATATGTGTTTAGAATTTCATAGTATAGCCACACTATAAGGCAATTAAGTTTTATTTATAAAGAATTTAACCCGCCCTAGCTGGTTTGGCTCAGCGGATAGTGCGTCGGCCTGTGGACTGAAGGGTACCAGGTTTGATTTCGGTCAAGGGCATGTATGTGGGTTGCGGGCACATCCCCAGTAGGGGGCGTGCAAGAGGCAGCTGAATCGATGTTTCTCTCTCATCGATGTTTCTAATTCTCTATCCCTCTCCCTCTCCCTTCCTCTCTGTAAAAAATCAATAAAATATATTAAAAAAAAATTTAACCATGTAGAAAAGTGACTATGGTAAAACACTATATGAAAAGGTAGGATATGTATATGGACAAAGGTTGGAATGGCATACATGAAACTAAAAAGTATTTGTGCTAAACTGAAAGAACCAGGGATGGGTCTTTATCTATTTACTAAAATTTCCATATTACTGCCATTATTATTGTTGTTGTTGTTATTACAACTATTATGAAAAAGAAAAAATATTTTTGGCACCTGCTATTTACTGCCTTCTACTAACAAAGTATTTCGATGCTTTACCCATTGTCCTTGCTCTTCTTACCCAATTCCCATCCCCATCAGTTTTAAGTGTTACCAACCTGATTTCTTCTCCCGAGTATCAGAATAGAGGCCTTTAGTGTCTTGCCTGGGAACACCTAGCCTACTATGAACATCAGAAAAGGGCTCTCTCCGAACGACGGGGTTACAAGCCTTTTCTGGAGAATGTGGTCTTTTTCCTAACCGCTGGCGTATATCTAGGAAAGAAAAGTACTACTGTTACCAAGTGTGTGTGCTTTGCTATCTGTACTGTCAACCTGGGATCCTTACAGGACCTGGTCCAGATCTCCCCGAGTGAGGACCAAGGGCCAACACACTCAAGCTTCTCAACATCTTCTCTCCATGCCAGTGATTTTCAACCTTTTGCATCTCATGGCACACATAAACTAATTACTAAAGTTCTGTGGCAGACCAAAAAAAGGTATAATTTTAATTCATCCACATGGGACAACATGTTGGCTGCTGTCATTCTTTTATTTGACAATCTAAGAGAAAAGAGGTCAGTGCCCCTGACTAAATAGTCAGGACCGGTTGAAAATCGATACTGTATGTAATCTAGATTTCCTTAGGAAAATTCAGATGTAAGGGTTCCCAGCGGGGGTGGGGGAGGGTGTTCTCAGCTGACTGCTCCAGAAAGGAATTTCTGTGGCAGAATCAACTGTCTTTTTTTTTTTTAAGTAGAACCAAACAGACCAAATGATTTACAAACATTTTAGTTAACAAGCAATATTGCAAAAGCCGAGGGCAGAAGCCACAATCTTTGAACATATAAGTTCTCAATAAACTTATTACACTTAACAATAAATGAGAGTGGTGAAAAACAAAGGATTAAGGGAAGATGTCCCAAATCAAATTTGTTCTTCCTCTATACCTCCTCCAACCCCCAAAATCTGCCTTTCCTCCTGAGTTCCTTCTAACAGTAACACAGTAACAGCAACAACAAAACCACCTTTATTAGCAAATGGGCTCTTCCGCGCCTTGCTTATTCTCAGAGAACAGCACCCCATCATCCCAGTCCCATTGACCTGGGTCCCTTGGCTTCTCTCCCTTTCCTCCCTCACATCCCAGTGCTGAGTCTTCTTCCTTCACAACGTTTGACATTCTCGTCCACTCTGTCTTTGTGGTCCCTGACCTAGTTCAGGCCTTTGTTACTTACTTAACCCTATACCCTACCTCACTCTGCTCCTAAGTTATCTTTCTAAAATAGATATAAAATCAGGTTACTTCCTCAAAAAACTATATTTGCCAACTGAGATCCTATTCTCTCCCCACATTCTCTAAGAAGCCTTCCACAATTCTGCCAGAAGATCCAGCTTCCCTCTCTGCTCCCATAGTCCACTGCTTACAGGACTATCAGAGCACTTCCTCCACTCTGCTTTTGGGGGAATGATCTGAATGTGTGCACTCGTGTTTCTCCATCAAAGTTCTAGGATGATTCTGCATCCCCTCTGAAGACTTTGAACACTCCCAGCACCTAGCTCAGGGCCTGGCACACAGTAGGCATGGCCAAGTATCCGCTACACGCCTGTCTAGTCCAAATTCTTAACCATTTCTACAACAATTTATATTACCCTGACATATAAAAAATACCAATGATTGCCCAGCCGCCATGGCTCAGTGGCTGAGTGTCAACCTATAAACCAGGAGATCACGGTTTGATTTCTAGTCAGGGCATATGCCCAGGTTGCGGGCTTGATCCCCAGTGTGGGGCTTGCAGGAGGCAGACAATCAGATTCTCTCTCATCATTGATGTTTCTATCTCTCTCTCCTTCTCCCTTCCTCTCTGAAGTCAATAAAAATATATTTTAAAAAACACCAATGACATACATAGTAAAATAATTGTTAGGTTCAAAAATACTGAAAGCTAGTATTAAAAAGTCGGATTTTTCATGTCCTGAAAGCCAATGCCTAACCCAAAATTTAGAAGTAATGAACCAGAACAACTAAATCCGTCCACAAATGACATCATTTAATCTAAAAACCTATCCCTGCCCGTCTGCCTTCTGGAGCTCAGAACGAAGCCCAGAAGCAGAGCTGACCAACGATACCTGATTTAGTGCTGCTGCCTGACGGCCGCGGACGTGTGTGCTGACGTTTTTCATCTAATAAATGTCGGACGTCTGCAAATTTCTCAGGTGGCAATTTGTTGCCGATTCGGTTTTTGATATTGCTTGTTGATATAGTATCTGACCTCATGGAGTTCCTTAAAAAAAAAAAAAAAAAAAGACACAGCTAACCACTTCAACTATGGGACAATGCCCATGCAACAATCTCACATACTTCTCTGGAAACAATTAAAACCCAATCTAATCTAACATTCACTTACAAAGACTACACACTGATAATTATTTATTTACAAAAATCATGATCAGCCTGATGTAAAGAGACCAGCCAGGTGAGCAGTCCCAAGGTTCCCACACCTGATATCTGTAAGCCATCACGAGCATGTAACTATGAGTCTCCTTCTCCTGGGACGAACATTGAGAGGCCTCTGCTCCCCCAGGCTGTAGACAAGATACAACAGAGTCTGCAATCCCTTTCTTTAGGGCTGACTTCTCCGTCAAAGACATCTGCTACCATGCTAGGAAGCAGCACGATTTTGGCAGCATTTGTCTTTACAAAGTTCTGTGAAAACTAAAAATAAGGATGTGAACAAAGCCATACAAACCAGCTTGAATGGTTCCTTCCTTTCCCCAAATACACCACCAAGAACACTTAGGGAGAGCTTCCCTAGATTCCAACCCTTTGAGTTGTGCATATGCTATGTGCCCTCAGGAATATGCTCATCCTCATCCCCACTAGTCATCAAATAAAAGCACATTAAAATAACTGTCTTTGCCCTGGTTGGCTGCTCAGTGGTTAGAGTGTCAGCCTGTGGACCAAAGGATCCCGGGTTCAATTCCCGGTCAAGGGCACGTACCTTGGTTCCAAGTTCACCAACCCAGGCAGGGGCTCGTAAGGGAGCAACCAATGTGTGTCTCTCATGTTGATGTTTCTCTCCCTCTCCCTCCTCTCCTCTCTCCCTTCCACTCTCTAGCAATCTATGGAAAAAAATATCCTCGGTGAGGATTAAAAGAAAACAACTATTTTTTTGGTCCATAAAATTAGCAAAATTTAGAAAGTTATAATACCTAACATTGATGAGTATGTAGGTAACAGGTGAAAATGTGAGTGAATAAAATCTTTCTGGAATGAAATTTCGCATACTACATATATTTATTGTGCAATAATTGTAATTTAAGGAATTTATTTATTAGTGAGATAGGAAGAAAATAGAAACCTAAGTGTCCATCAATAAGAGATTGGGTTAAATAAACCATGATAGCCCTGGCCGGTTTGGCTCAGTGGATAGAACGTTGGCCTGCGGACTCAGGGGTCCCAGGTTCGATTCCGGTCAAGGGCATGTACCTTGGTTGCAGGCACATTCCCAGTGGGGAGTGTGCAGGAGGCAGCTGATCGAGTGTGCAGGAGGCAGCTGATCGATGTTTCTCTCTCATCGATGTTTCTAACTCTCTATCCCTCTCCCTTCCTCTCTGTAAAAAATCAATAAAATATATTTTAAAAAATAAATAAATAAATAAATAAAAATAAATAAACCATGATACTTTCAAACAATGGATTACATACAGCTGAAAAAACAGTGGATCTCTATAACATATTAAATGGAAAAAGCATACTGCAAAACAATATAAATAGCATAACTTCACTTTTGTACAACTATGTCTATAATTTCTCCATGTGTTATGTGTATGCATGAAACTAGCGGGAAGGTTATTCACCCAGCTGCTGACAGTCCTTGTCTCAGGAGAGGATGACTTTACAGGTGATTTTCACCTTTTATACTGTCTATAACAAGGATCTCTTCTTGTATATTTTGAGGAAAAATCAAACACTTTTATTCAAACTCTACAAAGGACTAAAATTAGAACAGATAAAGTGATTATAAAACTAAGAGGAATTAAAATGAAGTTAGTAATTAGTATTTAAAACCAAATTAAAAGCTAGCACTGACAGAAAGGAGAAATAATCTTACCTAATATTTTTCAACTGAGATTCCACTTCATCAGCATACATAGTCATTTTCATGCTTTTCTTTGGTGAAGGAGTGGAAATCATTTTCAGTTCTAGATCATAGTCCATTTCATCGGAGTCTGAGCTGCTGGCACTGGACCTCCTGGATGAGCTCCGCTCCCGGGTCTGCTTGAGAGCTGGGAGCTCCTCATGGTACTCTACTACCACCCTGTCGTCGGCATCCATGTCCTGGTCCTCCTCCTCCTCCTCTTCCTCTTCTTCAATGGGCTCCTCAGGAACATTCACTAGTCCTAAGGAATTTAACCAAAAAACATTAGGAAAAGTAATGACAAGTCTAAATTTCTATTACTGATTTCTTTAAAAGAAAGGGTCCCCATGCCCAAGATGTTATTGCCACATTATCTGTAACAGAGCCAATCTGGCTGCCATTCTGATACCTACAACAGAGAATAGCGAGGTCCAATATGATCTAGCAGCCCATGGATTATGAAATTATCTAAAATACAGTCAACTGCCATTATTCACAGATTCTCTATTTTTGATTTTGCCCAATTTATTTCTAACTCCAAAATCAATGCTCACAGTGCTTTCATGGTCATCAGTGGACATGTGCAGAGTGGCAAAGTAAGAGTCGCCACACATGCACCTTCCCAGCAGAGGTCAAACGAGGCAGTGCTCTTTCTTCTTGCTCACCTCACACTGTAAATGAGTGTCCTTTCTGCCGTCTAGTGAGTGCCATGTCTTTCAGTTATGTGGTGTTTGTTGGTGATTTCACTATGTAGTAATCCCAAAACTGTCTAGTGTTCCTAAATGTAAGGAGGATGTAATGTGCCTTAAGAGGAAAATATGTGTATTATATCAGCCTTGTTCAGGCAGGAGTTATAGTGCTGTTGACTGTGAATTCATGCTGATGATTGTATTAAATGTATGTATTAAAATAAGGTGTCTTTAAACAGAAAGACAAGGTTATATATTGATCAGCTGACAAAATGGTATGACCAGATTCTCAAAGGTTCAGTATTTGCTCCTTCAAGGGTCACGGTGACTTTATAAACCATAATCACCAGAAATAATGTAACTTTAAAGTTCATGAAAAAGCACATATAAGTAGTGGAAGAAGCAGAATATAGAATATATATATGTTCACAAAAATTATAGTATTTATTATGAAACGAAATAGGAAAAATGTAAAATGAAAGTCAGTATATTATAGTGCTAGAATTAGGGGCAATTCTCTTTTTAATGTCTTTAATATAAAGATTACATGATGAAAATATCTTAAATATCTTAATGTAACTGAAATTGGAAAAATGTAACTGCATAAAATACAAATTTTACATACAATTTTCTATATACACATTAAATAAAAATGTACAGATGTCACCTCTCCCTGTCCTTGTTACAATGATAAATGTGTATGCATGTTATTCCATGTTTGTATGTTGACTTAGTTAGTTCTAGTTCTACCAAGCATGTGGAAGATCCCACAGCTTAGGTTCAAAATAAAAAACAAATCTTTATAAAACATAATGAAAATGGTTCTTTTACAATAAGCAAAGAAAGAAAAAAAGAAAGATGAGAAGAGAAGAAAGGAAAAAAAACCCAAGTCATGATATCCTATTTTTCTGGAGACATTCATGTGCACAAGCCAATATGCATAAAACACTAGATATAGCAGCCTATTTTCATTTTCAGATAAAAGAACAATAAAATCAGCTCATCTGATAAAATTTTTAAAAATTTTTTTTCATGCAGCTTTTGATATAAACAGAAAAAATTAGATTCCTAAGAATAGTTTTATTTTCATTTTCCCTATGTCACATTTGGGCTTTTTTTATTAGAACAGCTTTTATAAAACCATTTGACCTCTTTGTACGGGCAATTTAAAATTAACTGTGACTTGACTTACTTTCCTATATGTTGGCAGAGGGTGAGGGCAAGGAAGAGAGGATGATAAAGTTTGGAACCTTAAAAGACTGTATTAAGAATAAAAATATGATTTCGGGAGCCAAACATGTGTCTACCCAAGAGCTGAGCAGGCAACTACCGGAATGTCGATGTTTATAGGACGTCAAGCCAACATCATCCCCAATCATGGCTCTCTTCTTGATCACATCCCGCTGAATGCGACGGGAATGATATCTTCGCTTCCTGCAACATTGCCAAAATAAGCACATAATCAAAGACCAACAGGAAGGACCATGAAACCCACTGGTTAATTTCAACTACACAGTGACAAGTGTCAGGTACATCTGAAATGAAACTGAATGAACTCAGTACAGTGGGGCCTTGACTTACGAGTTTAATTCATTCCGTGACGGAGCTCGTAACTCAAATTACTCGTATGTCAAATCATTAAAGTGAACGAGTGAGACACGTGATGCTGGGCTGATGTTGTGGCGTTCACTGTGACGTTCGCTGCGCCAACTAGCGGTGGGGTATCTGAAGCTGGCTCGTAACCCGAATTTTAGCTCGCAACTCAAAGCAAAAAATCGGCTGAGAGACGGCTCGTATCTCGAAAAACTCGTTAGTCGGGACACTCGTAAGTCAAGGCCCCACTGTATTCTCACACCTTTTACCACAGTTAAGAATCTTGCACTCTTCCCTCTTGTCTTCCTTCGAGTCCACACATGGTGTTGACATTCCACTGCAGAATACCAACTAAAGGATTAAGAAAAGTTTGACTATTGTGTTTTATACTTTTGGACTCACCAAGAATTACTAAGAATTCCTTTCATGCCTCCATAATTTGGATTCCCATATTTCATGTAATACTGACTTCTTCTGGCTGCTCCAAGTTCTTTTTTGTCATCTAAAAATTAATTACAACAGTTACCTAGGATTTCCTGTGGGTGTGAAAACAATGTGTAATAGTTAAAAATAAATAAATAAGAAAGACCGTTTTGCATAGCTGGGGTCAGGTCAGCACAATCAGCCAACAGAAGGGAAAGATGCACTGCAAACATTCCCTCTCTGTGTGTCCACTAAGGCATTATGTGTGTGTGTGGGGGGGGGGGGGGGAGCATGAGGGAGGAGCAAAGCAGAGATGAATGAGGTGAAGCAGCTGTCAAGGAGGAAATACTTCATAGAGGAAATACCACTATTAAACCCCAACAATACAAGACATAAGGTTCTAAGAAGCATGACAGAGCTTCAACCATTACAAGTGCTCAGGCTCAAATGGGCTTTTGAGGTGGCATTTTCACTGCCCCCTGAAAGGTAATATTCATTCCTTTAAAAAATAATAATAAATAAATAAATAAATATATATATATTATTGATTTCAGAGAGGAAAGGAGAGGGAGAGAGACAGAAACATCAATGATGAGAGAGAATCATTGATTGGCTGCCTCCTGCATGCCCCACACTGGGGATTGAGCCTGCAACTTGGGCATATAACCAGAATCGAACCCGAGACTCGTCAGTCCGCAGGCCAACACTCTATTCACTGAGCCAAATCAGCTAGGACTAATATTCATTTCTGAATGATAATACACCAATAACACAGAATCGGGATTAAAGAAGCAGACTATACATAATTCCACATATTTGATAAACTATTTTTTCCAGTTTATCGTGATTTCCTCAAAATGGCTTAAAGTACCATACGTATATCTAGAATGTTCTCAACCACTCAAATCAGTAAATGCAGAGAAGATCCCTTTGTCAGGTAAAAGGTCCATTAATAGGAAAGAAAGGTGGCCAGTGATCACACATACATATAAAGGACTTGGACAGCTCTTTGGGCACTCACTGACTGCAAAGGACCAACCCCAATGTGAATGTATCAGTGCCGTGGGTAAACGCAGTCACACAAATTAGTATGCGCCCCTACAAAAACACATGCCTGAGGAGAAACAGCTGGTTCCAGATCAGAGGCAGGGAAAATACAAGTTGGGTCTGGAAAAACAAGATGTTTTAGTGTGCCATAGAGAAAGTGGTCCAAGAATCATGGGGACATGTCAAAAGCACACAGCTGGAAGCGGCTCTACTGGCCAAATCCAAGACAATTCGTGAATCAAGATAATGATAACAATGGATGATAGCCCAATGAATAAAATAAAACTCCATGAGTCTAAACTGGTATAAATAAGTAAATAAATAAATGGGTAAAAGGGAAAGCTCTTCCTTATAGTAGACTGCCAACTAATAAAGAAACGATGGAGTTAATAAGTCAATGGATGTTAAAGCTACTGCATGAACGCTTGATGAGCAATAGGCTACTTACATAATCTCAAAGTATCTTTCCACAAATTTTAAAATCACAATTGGAAAAATAGAAACTTGACAGTTTAGAGAAACCTGGTGATCATTACCTTAACCAAGTGATAAAAGGTACCATCCCTGGGTATGGGACAAGTTATCATGTGCCTCCTGATATGAGGCACTGAAAACAACACAATATCACTTCTGTGGTATTCTTGCCTAAAATGCACAACCTTAATCAGAAAGAGGCACAAGACAAGACCAAACCAAAGGGTTGTCTATAAAATAATGAGCCTATCTCTTTAAGAAATGGTTCAGTCAAGGAAAACAAAGCAGAGGAGCAGGTCCAGATCCAGGGAGACTGAGGAGCCATGGAGAACTTCAACACAGTCTGGAGTGGACCCCAGGTTGGGGGGGGGGGGTAGTAAAAGGAAAGTCCACATTTATTTGACAATGATCATCGTCGTCTTCATCAAAAACTGCTACACACAGCACTCACTGTGTGTCAGGCAGTTTAATATACAGAATGGGGAATTCTTGGAACAACTAATGAAATCTGAATGTGGATTATGGATTATTGTGTATTAATGCTAAATTTCTCGATTTTGATAAGTGTGCTCTGTGTAAGACAAAGTCCTCATTCTTCAGGAATACATATTGAAGTATTCAAAAGTGAAGGGTCATTTCTAATTAACTGTCAAACAATTAAAAAGAAACTGTGTGGGGGTTTAATGTGCACCGAAAATCATTGTGTATAAAAAGCCTTACAAATTATTATAGACTTGACCTAATTCCTTAGAGAATTAGACCTGAAGGGCACTATGAACCATGTCCAACAGGCTATTACTGTGATAAATATACAATTTTAAAAGGTTTTCATAGTTCAGATGATAAACTGGCTGAAAAGCACATGGCCAAACCAGCTTTAACAGAAAATAACTTACTTTAGCCAGAAATCACAAAAGAATACAAATAGTTAATATTTACTTTCAAAGTCTGAAATTCCAACTCGGGCAGCAAGCCATCATTTCATAAGCACAAAATATTACAGTTTGAGATTACTTGATCTAACCTCTGATTCAAAAGAGAAGGATGTCACTCAATAATCACTTTAATAATAAAAATCAATAGCAAATATCATACTTACCTTTTGTAGCAAATCTCATGAATAACTTATTTCCTTTAGCAAGTTTATTAGCTGGACGAAGATCGTTTCTTAGCAGAGACTCTTCTTCTACCTGAGATAATGTTTCCAACTTAAGAAAAAAGAGCATTTCAATATAAAAAATTAAAACCATTTTCACTTTTATTCAGTAGCAAAGTTACTGTTGATTAAGAAAGCATTCTGCCTTTAATAACATTCTCAATATCATAGCACCAGTTCTAAGTCAGAGGTCTTCCCTGACCACTTTGTCAAACAATGGTTTCCATCACTCTCTATCCACTTACCCTTCTTAACTTTCCTCATGGCAATTATCACTGCCTGACATTATATTATACACCTGTGTATCTGTGTTCTCTGTCTTCTCCACTAGAATGTAGGCTCCAAGAGAGCAAACACTTTGCTTGGCTTGAAGCTATATAATGCATATTTTTATATGAATACACTTTAATTTTTCCAACAGTAGTACATAATCTGTTAGGAAATATGCCATTTCTTGCTTTTTCCTAATTTTACTTATTAGGTAACACTTCAAAGTATTTCTTAACAAAATCATTTTCTCTTACAGAAGTGTGAGTACTATTCTAAGATCTCAAGATGAATCATTCATTACAGTCACACAAACTTAAAAACCAAGGGTCTGGTGCACCCTCAGGAAGTCTAATGGTGAGAGCCAGAGGAAGAACGCAACTTATTAAGTCTTTAAGCCTTAAATAAAAACATAGCAAGCAGTTTTTTACAGTGAAACCTTACATATATATAGATATAGATATATATACATATCTTACATAGATGATATAGATATAGATATAGATATAGATATAGATATAGATATAGATATAGATATATAGATATAGATATCTTTTCCCTATTACTAACCTCTACATCACTTGAGTTTTCATCTTCAACTTCTCCTTCTTCAGCCTCATCATCTGAACTGTCTTCCTGCTTGTCTAAAATTGAATGTGAGGGACAAGATGAACTTGAACATAACTCCATCTCATATCATTTAAAAGTTCGATTATTTTCTCCATCTATTTACTAATGATCCAAAACATCAAAGCCTATTTCAGAAATAACTAGTGATGAGATACTATGTAACACTTTGCACGGAAACCCAAACCAACCGAGTAAATAATAGGACATTCAGCCCAAAAGTCCCTCCTCTGTGTTCAGTTACCTTTTTTGCTTTTCTCAGATGACTTGTCCTCATTGGCATCCCTGCTTCTTATCTTATCCAGGTCTGGCAGAGAGCTCATATTGATAAGGGCTCGTGTGGCTGTCATTTCATCCAGCCAAACCACATTACCTAAAATAAAATGTAAAATAAAACATTATATCACATCCAAATGGTTGTTTCCTAAGAGCAGAAACTGCATCATATTCATTGTTAAACCTCATCTAGGTACAGACTGAGAGCAATAAATATACAAACCAACGAATGAAAAGAATAGGAAGTAGTAGTAAAACTTCTTTGATGAAATTGGCCTTGAGCTGCATTCCCCAACTGGGTTCCACAAAATAATGATCAAAGATTCCACAAGAAAGTGTTTATATAATAAAACTGCCTGGCACACAGTGCTATGTGTTAGTTCTTGATGAGAACGATGATGATAATTATCAAATAAATGTGGATTGTCCTCTATACCACTGCCCCTCCAGGGAAGCCCTATGCTCTTCCTTATCATCCAGACATGCTTTTAAATGATGTCCACCACTGATGATGGTACCATCACGGATATATACAATGGAGACATAACAGACACTTGGCTTTGTAGCAACTAATTGAATTTGCTGCATTTGTATCTCAAAGTTGAGGTCTAAGAGTCTCACCTTTGTTACCGACACGCCATGTGGCCTTGGGCAATTTCCCTTCTCTGTTTCTCAGTTTCTTGGTTTCTGATGCACAATATGAGGTAGCTGAACTGGATAATTCTAAGGGTCCCTCCAACTGCAATATCCCTTACCTAGTTTTAATGACTTAGAGCAGTGGTTAGCAAACTAAAACCTGCAGGTCAAATCCAGCCCATCATCTGTCATTTATTTGTTTATATTTGTACCTGATTTATTTAGGTATAATTAATGTAAAAGAAACTACACATCCACTGCCTGTTTTTGTAAAATAAAGTTCTACAGAAAATAGCCGGCTCATTCAACTACATACTGTCGATGGCTGCTTTCATGCTATTATAGCAGAGCTGAATAAATGACAGAGACTATATGATCTGCAAAGCCTAAAACATTTACAACCCAGCCCTTTATAAAAAAAGGTTTGGCAACCCTGATTTGGAAAATGTAAGTTAAGGAAAAAGAAAACAGGAGAAAAACAGTTTACTCTGTCATGTTTCTTCTTATTTCAATGAAAACGTTGAATCAATATCTTTTAAAGAAAGCAGCCAGAAAAACCAGGCTGCTCTACAGGGCACAACCTGGTAGGCCAGCAAGCTAGCAGTAAGTGAAGCCAGGCTAGAAGTGAGTCAAGACAAGAAGCCAGTAGCGTGGTCACCAGAATCAGAACAGACTTGGAGTGGGGAGGCAAGTTAAAAATTACAGTTGGCTCACAAGTTAAACAGCTCACAGGTTAGTGCAAGCAGGTGAAATTCCAGAAAACACAGTCCAAAGCAAGCAGAGATGAGAGGTCTGGTAAAGTGGCAGGGATTCTGACATAGTTCTAGGTTAGAGACACTGAGGCAGAGCCAGCCCCTGGATAGTCAATTGTATGGCAAGTGGCAATGACAAAGTCTAAAGCCCTGAAAACGCAGCCCTCAGCTCAAGTCTACACAGCTGGATCCACCCCTTTGTTGGGAAATCGTGGGAGTTAAAGAGGCCTTAATCGTGTACACTGGGCTCAGATGCCAGCAATCAGCTTTATAAGCCCTGGTCACCCCTCTGAGCTGACTTAGAATACTCACGGGGTGTAATTTGGTAGACTGGTTAGTGTATCTGGATTTTTTTCTCTTCTACGCTCAGGGCAGAGGTTAGGCACAGACAAGTAGTCTGGGCCATAGTCATTCACCATCTGAGGTGGCAAGAACAATTTCAAAATCATAAGCAAAAACATATTCAACAGAAAACTTGGTATACTTACAGGAGGTATCATCCAACCATTCAATGTGAGCCGGAGGGTATTCTTTAAAATAGGAAAAGATATCCTGGGTACTCATCTCATCTACTCCGCAAATGTAGATTGTCTCCAGTCTCACTTTGGGGATTGCTAAAAACACAGGACACAGAAAAGATGATAGAATTTTCCCACCCACTACTGCACATTCCACCCTATTACACAGTTCAGGTAACATGTGTTTAGAAAAGAAATATGCTGAAAGAGATGACATTTATTTTAAAAGAAAATGATAGATGACAGCAAGGTACACTATTTTGCTTTTTATCACAGACCAAACAGCATTAAATCAATTATTTAATTCAGAACAGGCTTTTGGCTGAAAAAGATTAAACAATTAATGTTGATAAAATACACAATACCTCTCCTCAAATTAACCTGCAATAATTAAAAGCAATACCAAATTCAATAGGCTTTTTCATTAAACTAGGCAAGCTGATTCTAAAATCTATATATATAAAAAAGCTTAAGCAACCGGCAGACCGGTCGACCATCCAGTCGCTATGACGTGCACTGACCACCAGGGGGCAGACGCTCAACGCAGGAGCTGCCAAGCTGTAGTGACTTGGCAGCAGAGGTTCTCAAATGACACACCCCGAAACCAGAGAGGAGGGAGCCCAATTCCTCACGGCACTGCACGATTTCACCTTCAGCTGTGGGTTATGTTGTTGCTGGGGCACTGTCGGGCCTGAACGCAAACTTGCGTTTGCATTCCACACCCTGTACGACAGCAACTTTGCAGAGTGCCCTCTCGCACTCCGGGACCCCTTGGGGGATGTCAGAGCAGGTTTCGGCCAATCCCTGCAGGCCAGGCCAAGGGACCCCACCTGCCAGAGGGACCCTGCTCACTCCACAGACACCAGGGAGGGACCACGGGAGGTTGGCTCCAGGGCATGTCCAGCCCATCTCACCCAGTCCCGCCCTGCCAGCCACCTTCTAATTAATTTCCTTTCAATGTGCATGAATCCGTGCACAGGGTCACCAGTTTTTAAATATTTATCAAAGAAAAATATGAAACAGTTGAGCCATTTCTGAAAAAGAAGAGATGCTGCCCCTGGATATAAAGCAAAGAAGGAAACTAGAGTAAGAACATCCTACAAATACTGAGAAAATGACAGCTTAAAATAAAAACAGGCAAAGAACATGAGTAGACAATTCACACAACAGGAATTACAATAAATATATGAAAAGATGGCTGACCTCACAATCAGAAACACACATACAAAAACAAGATGCCACTTTTCAATTACTAGAATTTTTTTTAATTTATGTATTTTATTATCAATTGTTGGCAGTGTGGAGAAAAGAGCCCCTCCCTCTGCTGGTGGGATTGTGAAGTGGCACAGCCACTCTGAAGGACAAATAGGAAGTGTCTATTATAAATGTAATTTAGCACGTGCCCTTTAGGCAGTTACTCCTCATGTGGGTTCACACAGTAGCTCACACAAAGATGTTTGTTTTGTCATTTTGAAGGGTAAAAGGTTTAAGGGGAGCCCATGTAGGTGCGTCCAGACTACCTGGTAAATCAGGTGATACCTTCCTGCCACCCAGATAATGAAGATGGAGATACCATTAAGACCTAAGACTCTCAGGAAATCCTTATTAGTGACCAGTGGTGCAACAGTGAACAAAGGCTCAAATGAGACAGGTGTTCACAATGGACATCCCGGTGGGGAAACTGAAGGAGTCAGACCAGGGAGCCTTTTCAGTTCTTGGAGCTACAAGCCATGAGTATGGATGAAAAAGGTCCCACAGGAAGTAGAGAGGGAACAAACAACAGGAAGAGCTCCTGGAGGTGGCAGAGAAAACAGACCAGGGAAAAATATCTGTGGAAGACTTGTTGACCTGATAACAAGGTTTAATCATAAATAAGACAAGCAATAAATAAATAAATACCAAAAGAACCGACAAAAATAAATACCAAGAGCATCATGGCACTGTTCTAACATTATAATGCTTTTATTAAAAAAAAAACAACAACAACACAACCCTGCAGAAATAGCTTAAAAACAAAAGATGGTAAGGAATAGCCCTAACCAGTTTGGCTCAGTGGATAGAGCGTCGGCCTGCGGACTGAAGGGTCCCAGGTTCGATTCCAGTCAAGGGCATGTACCTTGGCTGCGGGCACATTCCCAGTAGGAGGTGTGCAGGAGGCAGCTGATTGATGTTTCTCTCTCATCAATGTTTCTATCTCTCTATCCCTCTCCCTTCCTCTCTGTAAAAAACCAATAAAATATATTTAAAAAAAAAAAAAGAGAGAGAGATGGTAAGGAATAAAACTCCTGGCCTCAGACTGTCTTTATTTAAAATTTTTTTAATTGATATTTTGAGAGAGAGGAAGGGAGAGGAAGAGAGAGATAGAAACATCAATGATGAGAGAGAATCGTTGATCAGCTGCCTCCTACACACCCCCCACTAGGGATCGAGCCTGCAACCGGGCATGTACCCTGACTGGGAATCGAACTGTGACCTCCTGGTTCATAGGGTGATGCTCAACCACTGAGCCATGCTGGCTGGGCTTTATTTTAATGTACAGAGAATGGTATACACATTTAGAAATGGGCAATGAACAGTCTTGTCCAAAAGAAGCAGGTATAGATACAAAAGCCATTATCACTACAAAGACAAACGTTTCAATGAGCTGGAAGAAAAGTTCATTCTCAAAAGAGAACCAAACCGACTGTGGCAAGACCCACTAGAGATGGAAACCTTGTTAAGCTCAAAATTTGATGGAAGATTGCCAAAGGAGAATGCTCAATGCTTCCTCACCTTGCTGACAATGTCGCTGCTTAAAATAAAACAAAGCAGGAGCCTACATTTGTGCCCAATCAATGAGGAAGGACTAACTGCTGAGATGGCAGTGAACAGATGGATGAGGGAATGAGAACTGGCCATTTACTGAGTGCTGACTACCAGCAAGGTGGTGAGGGCAGCATCTTGCTTTTTTTTAACAGGAAAGAAAACAATGAAAGACAGGGAGTAGGAAAGTAGATTTCTGAAATTCCAGAGAAAAAGAAGCCAATCCCATGGCCTTACACTAGAATGTTGAAAAATTTATAAGACATTAAATATAGTTACTCAGAATATGAGAGGTGATTCCCAGGAAAGAGAAGGCAGCAAAGCTTGGGTGAGAACAATCTGCCAAATAACACATATGGGAGACAGACAAAGGGTAAATTACTAAAGACAAAGGTAGAAGAATAAATGTAAGAATCTAAAAGACTAGCATCAGGCTATACAATGACATGGAAATGCAAATGGCAGATTGTCAAGTGAAAAGGAAAAACAAAAATAAAATCTGCATACAGAAAAGATTAGAAGGAAGTACACAAAATGTTGACAATGACTGGGTTTGGTGATAGATTGTGGGCAACCTTTCTTCTTACTCTCCAAGTTTTCTTTGGTGAACATGAGTTGTTTGTGAAATATCTAATGAAGAAAAGGGTACAGTTCAGAGTATATAAGCTCATCAAAAATGCTGATGGCTTTTTTTTCCCCGTACACCAAAAAGTTACAGGTTTGATCCCCAGTCAGGGCACATACCTACGCTGTAGGTTTGCAGGGTTGCTTCCCAGTTGGGGCACATACAAGAGGCAGCTGATCGATGTGATATCTCTCTCTTTCTCTCCCCCACCCCTTCTTCTCTCTCTAAAATCAATAAAACATAAACCCAGGTGAAAATTAAATATATATATATATATATATATATATATATATATATATATAATTTTTTTTAAATTAATGTCATTCTCTGGAATTTTTAAAAAGTAGCTGATCAAACAGAACCTACAATCCCTTAAGAAACCAAGTCTCGCCCTAACCAGTTTGACTCAGTGGACAGAGTGTCGGCCTGTGGACTGAAGGGATGCAGGTTTGATTCTGGTCAAGGACATGTGCCTTGGTTGCAGGCTCGATCCCTGTCCCTGGTCAGGGTGTGTACGGGAGACAACCAATCGATGTGTGTCTCTCATAACGATGTTTCTCTCTATCTGTCTCTCCCCCTGCCTTTCACTCTCACTAAAAAAATCACTGGAAAATATCCTCGGGTGAAGAGTTACAAAGCAAACAAAAAATGAAACCAAGTCTCTCCCATTGGAAATGACGTGAGTTCTCTAAGAAGCAAGCCACACAAACCTCTTTTCTTTTTTTGGCAGCATTACCCCACACCAAGAAATTCAAGTTCTATCTCGAGACCATTAAGGCATGTAATCTAGTTCCTCATGACAATAAAATGAAATGTGGACCTGATAATAAACTAAGACTTACAATTCACGGATCTATGTTTCATGGCATGATATGGGATTATCCTGATCAACATTTACCAACAACTGATAAAGATGCAGAGGCCTGGCATACCAAAGTGAGGAATATAGCTAAAATGCTAAAAGGTACAGTTAAGATGGAAATGAACTAGACAGACTGAAATGGAGTCTTGAAATTAATAAGATATAATTTGGTAAAGATAAATAAGGAAGTAATTTTTAAACAGTGCCTCAAGTACAAGACTGCTTTTTTTAAAAAAAAATATTTTATTGATTTTTCACAGAGAGGGAGAGGGGTAGAGAGTTAGAAACATCGATGAGAGAGAAACATCGATCAGCTGCCTCCTGCACGCCCCCTACTGGGGATGTGCCCGCAACCCAGGTACATGCCCTTGACTGGAATCGAACCTGGGACCCTTCAGTCCTCAGGCTGATGCTCTATCCACTGAGCCAAACAGGTCAGGGCAAGACAAGACTGCTTTGATGGAGAGAATTCCTAGGGAAAAGACCAGGGTGCTTCGGTTGACTGGAAGGTGAGTACACTATGAAATAGGTAAGACAGAAATCATGGTGTAGCCCTGCCATACTCTGCATGAATCCAACAATATCTGAATCTACACCTCACCTTATGAAGGACATTTAGAGATTGAAAAGAGTGTAGAGGAGAGAGGCTAGAAAGTCAAGTCACATAAACAAAGTGTAGGAAATGGGCTTACTGCTCATTCACCTGAAGGATTATTATGAGAATGAGGAAAGAACATAATGTTGTTCTAAGGGTCACACAGTAACTAAAAGACAGAAATTATTAGAAAGCAATTTCTGTTCAACATGAGGAACATGTATTAACATGTATCCAAAAATTGACTGCTTCATAAATAGTTCTTCTGCCGTCACTAGGAAATGTTCAAGCAGAAGCCAGAAGACCATTGGGAACTTTGCCAAAAGGCCCGCAGCGCTGGGCAGGAGGTGACTTTTGATGACCTCTAAGGTTTCTTCCAACCACGAAGGCTTTGATCTTGGGGATAAGGAAACAAAAGCTGCTCGACCCTGAGTCGCTAAGAGTAAGTAGCAAGTCACTCTTGATGCAGAATGATCAGTGCAGCACATCCCACACTCTACCTGAGAGCTGGCAGAGAGGTGAGGGACACCGGCTTCAGCCAGACCAGCCTTCAGATCCCAGCCTTGCTACTTACCTAGCCGTGGAACCCCAGGCAAGGTTCTCAGCCTCTCAGCACCTTAGTTTCCCCACCAGTAAAACAAATGGTAATTCCCTTCCCTGCACAGGGCTGAGTGGCATATAGTAAGCATTTACCAAACGTATCTTTGTTGCCATTGGTATTAAAAAGAAGCAATAACTTGACACCTAATGTGGCTGCAGGAGCCAAGATGTTTATTCCAATGTTCCCATTCTCCCAAGAGGCTAGGCCACTTAGAAGACTGCTGGGAAGATGGAAAATGCCAGATAATGAAAATAACAACTATCATTTATTGGGGACTTACTATGAACCAGACATAAGAACTGTAACATTATGCTAGAGCAGCGGTTCTCAACCTGTGGGTCGCGACCCCTTTGGTGGTCAAACACCCCTTTCACAGGGGTCGCCTAAGACCATCGGAAAACACATACATAATTACATAATGTTTTTGTGATTAATCACTATGCTTTAATTATGTTCAATTTGTAACAATGAAATTGGGGGCCACCACAACATGAGGAACTGTATTAAAGGGTCGTGGCATTAGGAGGGTTGAGAACCACTGTGCTAGAGCCTCCCAACAACCCTATGAAAACTACTGTTATCTGCCTCTCCATATGAAGAAACTGAGTTTCTTCGAGCCTAAGTAACTTCCCCAAGTCACCCAGCTAGAAAGGAACAGGTCAGGATTTAAATATAGGCACCCAGGCTTCAGAACCCACACTCTTTTCTTTAAAAAAAACAACTGATTTTAGAAAGAGGAAGGGAAGGAGGGAAAGGGAGGGGGAGAAGGGAGAGGGGAGAGGGGAGAAGGTAGAGAAAGAGAGAGAGAGAGAGACCTAGACATGAGAGAGACACATCATCAATTGGTCGCCTCCCACATGAGTCCCCACCAGGGCCAGGGAACCTGCAACCGAGGTACATCCCCTTGACCAGGAATTGAACCCGCAACTCTTCAGCCCATGGGCCAATGCTGTAACCATGGAACAAAAAGGCCAGGGCCAGAACCCACACTCTTAATCACCATACCAATGGCTCTCAATCTTGACTGTACATTAGAATTACCTAGGGAGATATAAAAATAACTATCGCTGGGACCTATACAAACCCCTTGCCTACCTCCCATCCTAATTTAAAATGATCTGGGATAGGCAGCAGGATTCTCCAGAGTTCAGGAATACTACCCTAGAATATGCTGCCTTCTGGATGAAAAACAGATTAAAATGAGCAACGTGTCCCAGCTCATCCAGGCAGGTCTATTGCTTTTTTTTTTTTAATATATTTTATTGATTTTTCACAGAGAGGAAGGGAGAGAGATAGAGAGTTAGAAACATCGATGAGAGAGAAACATCGATCAGCTGCCTCCTGCACATCTCCTACTGGGGATATGCCCGCAACCAAGGTACATGCCCTTGACCGGAATCGAACCTGGGACCTTTCAGTCCGCAGGCCGACGCTCTATCCACTGAGCCAAACCGGTTTCGGCAGGTCTATTGCTTTTTAGGAATATCTTTAGAACCATAAGATTAGGGTTGCTTTTCAAAAAAAAATTTTTTTTTTTTTTAAATTTAACTCCAGAAAGGATCCTATTTAGGTAGGTATATTCTCACTTTATAAACAAGGAGATTGAGACCTAAAAAGGTTTAATAACTTGTCCACATTCACAAAGGAACTGAGAAAAAGATTCCAGGAGGGCACCTGCACCAACAGAGGTAAGAAATTTGAGTGGGTGATTAGGGCTTCATGGGGAAAATGACATCTGAACAAGAAAAAGCACGGGACAAGGAAGGGCAAAATCAGCGGAATGAAAAGGCATGAACTGCCACAATGGATGCTCACAGGCTAGAGGTAAGCAAGCTGCAGTTATGAGAGGCTTCAGAGCTCTGCTTGGGCCCAGACTGAGCAGGCACATGAATGCCAAGCTGCACAGCTATCCTTAGCCTTCAAAGGACTTTTCCTGAAACAGAAGTCCACTCAGGTAGATGCCTGGAAACCCAGCCTGCAAGGGCAGCAAGACCATATTTCCAACTTGAACTCATGAGGCAGAAAAAAGTGTAAAGCAGGATTCAGAGTTGAGCTCTGCATCCAAGCTACTCTACCCACTGGGACAGACTAAGGAGATTTGGGTCTGTGCTGTCATATCACATACATGAGGCGATAGAGCAAAGTAGTTAAGAGCAAGGTTTTAGAGTCAGATAAACCTAGGTCGAAATTCTGACTCCACTTTTACGAGCTGCATAACCTCAGGCATTTACTAAATTTCTTTGAGCCTATTTCTACTTCTTTGTAAAACAGGAATAAAACATATATTCCTCATAGGGTTGTTGTGAAAAATGAGTAAGAAACGAATATGCAATATGCCAACTAACACAGCGCCGGGTAAGACAGCAAGTTCCCCCCAAATAGTAGTTATTCTTTCGTTCATTCAACATGCTTTTATCAATCAAGCAAGCCTAGAGAAACTCATACAGCAGAGCACAGACCTTTAACATGCAGAGGTCTGCCTATTAAGTCCTTCAGAAATACCCAAATTTGCAAATACAACAGAGGGAGACCTTTTGTACTCATGGATTTATATTAGCGTGGAATAATAAATATGGCTATGAACGCACTAAAAATTTTCCCTTTATTTTATAAACTGCTTCAGAAGACTGGGGCAGATTACTCTTTATAATTCAGGGTGAGTTCCAGGAAGCAAAACATTTACCCTAATAAAACAGAAAAGTAAGATAAAATCACAAGCCTGCATCTAAAGAAGTGCTGACAGCTTTCCCCCCCAATCCAATATTGCTCTGACTCCCCTTAAAGAGGTCTCACTGTGATATACTTCTAATACATTTATTTTATTTTTTTATCCTCATCCAAGGGTATTTTTTACATTAATTTTTAGAGAGAGTAGAAGGGAGAGGGAGAGAGAGAGAAAAAAACACCAATGTGAGAGAGACACGTCGATTGGTTGCTGCCTGCATGCCCCAGACCAGGGCCGGGAGCCTGCAACTGAGGTATGTGCCCTTGACCAGAATGGAACCCAGGACCCTTCTGTCTGCAGGCCAACGCTCTAGCCCAGCCGTGGGCAAACTACGGCCCGCGGGCCGGATCCGGCCCGTTTGAAATGAATAAAACTAAAAAAAAAAAAGAGACCATACCCTTTTATGTAATGATGTTTACTTTGAATTTATATTAGTTCACACAAACACTCCATCCATGCTTTTGTTCCGGCCCTCCGGTCCAGTTTAAGAACCCATTGTGGCCCTCGAGTCAAAAAGTTTGCCCACCCCTGCTCTAGCCACTGAGCCAAACTGGCTAGGGCTACTTCCAATACATTTAAAAACAAAGAAATGTTAAGCTTTCTATGATAAGAGCAGGAATGGGTGAGTCCATAGAAGCACAGGTTCTAATTTCAGCTCTGCCACTAACTGGGTGACGTTCTTTGAGCCTCCTCCGACAAGACAATCTTTTTTTTTCAGCTCTAACATCTGAGACACAGCTAACGCAACTTTAAACAGACCACCTCAAAAATGGAGACTTCCTTTCCTTTGGGAGTATTTGAATGAGGACTGGACATACAAGGCGAGGCCAGAAGCACCAGCCATGGTAGGAAAAAGTTACTGTCTGGGAAATGTGGAAAAATTCCCCCCAAATACCCAGTACCTTTCTTCATCATGTCTCGGTCCAAGGCTATATTTCTTTGGGCAAGATCTACTTCTGATCGTAAATGGAAGCGCTTGGCTCGTTGTTCTTTCTTTTCAATTGCTTCCTAGAAGGTACAGAAAAAGCCATGTTTCAATGAACGAGAAAAGTTAGATCGCACACACAATCACAAATACAACATAATGCATCAGTGACAATCCTAAAATAAATCAGAAGAAATAAGCAACAATGTACCTTTAATAATTTTTGCAGAGAACTGGATATTCAAAGTCAATGACTGGGAGGGTGTACATTAATGCTGCTATAATTTGTAATAAGCTCCATGATGATTCAATGCCTATCACTGAGTCTGAGGCAGAGTAGGAATTCAATGAATATTAGTTGATCCAATGAGTAATAAGGAATGCTTAATTCTCTGACATTTCATTTATTAGCAGTCATGATTCAAACAAATTACAACTAAACAATCTTAAATCTCAATTTTCCAGGTGCAGAAACTGAAGCACAAAAAAGTTAAAAGGTTTGCTGGAGGAACTTCAGCAGTAAGTGGGGCAGAACTTCTGATCTCAGTGCTATTTCTAGGAGCCCGCCCCCCATCCCCATTTCACTGTCTGTGTGCATGGTAATCACACCTATCACGCTCATCCACATTATGTCTGCATGAGCAGTCCACTCCCTAAGGCTTTTTCCTGGTTTAAAAATAGCTTTGAGGCAAAGAAACTCTCTCTCTTATAGGCTTGTGTCCATGGACTTGCCAGTTTTCATTTTTAAGTGACAAAAAGCATTGACGCTTCACTGAAAAACAAAATAATCAGCTTCGTAAGTTTTTTTTCCCCAAGAGCTAAAATAAATCCAGATCCAACTGTGAGTTTCTGATAGCTCTTGGGAACCCTTCGCTAATTACATACTGACTTTGCCACACTAATTGAAGGTCTGACTGTATAGAAAGCTTGTGGGGATTGGTAAAGCAACAACACTTCTGTTATTTCCCAACAGTTATGCTAATTTTCTTCCCTGAAATCTTCACAGTGCAAACAGCTAATCTACCTTTCTTTAGTAACAATTTAAGTACCAATTCTGGGACTACCACCCTTTCCCCCCATTATATTTGTTTAATATAATGGCAAACTGTGTAGGATTAAGAACAGTACAGTCTACTTCTGGTTCAATTACAATAAGAAAACATCTTCACTTTATTTTCTTGTTTGTCTAAAAGATCACTTCTTTCTTTTGGCCTTTAAGCCATCTAAGACAGATTGAGTCCCAAATAAAATATAAAAATGTTAAGTATGACATTTTTATTTTTTATTTTATACATCCAATATAGCAACACAGTACTATTATTCAGAATTCAAGATTCTATTCCACTCAATTGCACACATTAAAGTAGAAAGAATGCCTAAACTGGATATCACCAATTAAAACAACAAATATGCACTATTTATAATAAGAAAAATAATAGGTTTGGCTCTGTGAGGAATTACAGTGAAGTTGGTAATCTAGTAACAGCAATCACTAGGTAAGATAGTATTCCCAGGTACTGAGAATAATTCAGCTGACTTGGTCTTCAAAGTTTAGATAGCCACACAGTAAGGAAATCCTATTTTTCCGGGTATTTTTGTTTGTTTTTGTTTTTGTTTTTAGAGAGGGAGGAAGGGAGAGAGAGAGAAAAAAAATAACATCGATGTGAGAGAGATACATCAATTGGTTGCCTCCCGCACGCACCCCAATCAGGGATCAAACCTCACAATCTAAGTATGTGCCCTGACCGGGAACTGAAGCTGCGACCTTGTTGCACAGGATGATGCTCCACCAACTGAGCCACACCAGCCAGGGCAGGAAATCCTATTTTTCTAAGCCTGCAGCCAGTGAGGAATAAAAGACATTTACTAAGAGCCTACTATGTGCCAGGAACTTTTCATGTTTTGTTTCATTTAAAGTAAAAATAGTATATCACTTTTAAAGAATGTACACAACATAAAAAAGCATTTGCAGTGCAGAACTTTTTCTTGGATATGATTGAGCACAGGTATAGTGATTTTATCTTAGCATGAACATGAGAATACACAAATACTGCCTGGATGTTTCCAGAATGCACAAAGGCATCACTGTGTAATATAAAATTTAAGCTAAATAAATTTTAATCCAGCAACTAAAGAAAAACAGGTGGTAAAGAATAATTGCAGTTCCACTAATCCTAGGAACCAAGTTCACCCGAGTATCAAAATGAATAAATAAATCATGGTGTGTCTTACCTTGGAGGTGACGTCAATTCCAGTGATGAAACTGCCAGCCTTGTTTTCGTATCTTCTGCTTGTGTCCTAACAGGAGGGGAAGAGTAAGAAATGCTGACAGCAACTGACGAAAAATTCATGATAAAAACAGCTGATGCTTTTTAGCCCTGACCAGTTTGGCTCAGTGGATAGAGTGTCGGCCTGCGGACTCAAGGGTCCCAGGTTCAATTCCGGTCAAGGGCATGTACCTGGGTTGCGGGCACATCCCCAGTAGGGGATGTGCAAGAGGCAGCTGATCGATGTTTCTCTCTCATCGATGTTTCTAACTCTCTATCCCTCTCCCTTCCTCTCTGTAAAAAAATCAATAAAATATATTTTAAAGAAATAAAAATAAATAAAAAAATAAAAACAGCTGATGCTTTTTGGATAGTCACGCTCCTGAGCAAACCTTCCCCCACTCTGACAACCCCTTACCCCGAGGAAGCCCATCGCCGTGACTGCAGTAGCAATCACTACTCTAAGGAGAAGTCATTTCCAGATGAGGGCCTGTCCAAACCTCAAACAATCCCATCTACGGAAGGTATCACGTCAATGGAACTCTACAAGCTTTTGTGAAAAGCATCCACGATGAGGCATAGTCACTCATCTCCCCGACCCAGCCCGGCCCAATCCATCAGGCCCGGCCACGAGGTAAACAGAGCACACGAGTTCATCAAAATGCAGAAAATCCAGACTCGCCCAGACCTACGGAAAACACAGCACAGGGCAACGAAAGGAGGGTGGGATTGGGAAACCCAGGCCTGAAAAGGCAGCTCTGACGTTCTCGGGCTACGTGACACTTTACGGTTCCGTTGGCCTCTCTGGGCCTAGGTGTCCTCCGTAGCATCTGCCCACCTTCCGGCCCGCTTACTGCTCTCATACTTGTGCCCATCTCAGAGCCTTCTGCTGACTGCTGCCCCTACTGGGGACTCTTCCTTCCAGGTCTGCACCTGGCTGGCTCCCTTGTGTCACTCAGGGTTTGGCTTAAACGTCCCTCTCAGAGGACTTCCGGGACCATCCCACCCCACGCAGCTTCCCGCTCTGCACACCCTCCCTGCCCTCTGCACTCGCGATGCCATTAACATGCTTTATTCTGGTCACGGCACTGACCACGACCAGGAATGATGTGCTTACGTGTGTCCCCCAACTGGAACATAAACTTCGGGAGGGCGTTTCATCGTGAGCAAGTGCCCAGGACCGTGCCTGGCACCTGGTGGGGGCTGCCATAGGTGTGACACCGAATGAGGACAGGGATGGCACAGACTTCACTACCGCGGTGACAGCGAAACGATATAATGTGGTCAACGGTACAGGGACCCTGTTCATTATTATTACCGGAGTCACTGTCATTTGCTATCTAGAGGGATCCACTTTCACCTTTCCCCATCATTTCAGTTTAGAAGCAAGGCTTGCTGACGTGGTAACAAGTCCTTCCTTCGTCCTGGGTGAGCAAGGAGGGGCCGGAGAAGGGCCAGGCAGGCCTGAGACCGGCCCCCAGGAGCGGGCAACGGGCCACCAAAGCACAAGCAAAACGCCGCTCGCCGGGTGCTGAAAGGCGGGCCAGAGCCGCTGCGCATTCGCGGATGTTTTGGTTCCATGAAAGGTCAGGTGTCGGGACCGCGGCGGCGCGGGGGCCCCAGAGCAGTGGGGCTGCGCGGGGGCCAGATGACCCTCGGTCACCAGACACACGAGCTCCCGCTGCTGTCAGGCCCAGCCCTCCCGGAAGACACCCCGAGCCCCGCCACCGGAACCGGAACCGGCCCCCCAGCACTCCCTTGAGGACCCGCCGGTGACCCGGGTGCTGCGGTACGGTTCCCGCCAAGACAACCAGGCCCCTCTTCCTCTCCCCGCGCAGAAAGGGGCTCGGATGCGCGTTAAGATGACGCCC